CATTTGGAAAGTTAATAGTGACACTGAACTCAGGAGCTAGATCTTACAAATGCATCAAAATACCTGAACTATTTACAATACTGTAACTTATTTGTGTATCACTCGGCTGTAGATCTCAAATCATCTCTGAATTCATGCCGACACTGTCCTTCCTTCTGGAGGGGGGCTACTTTTGTTCCCCATTGTCCCTGTGTGTTGTAAAGTAGTCACCGCTCCAAGCTCACTCATGTGATGGACTACAATCTCAATAAACTACAATGCACTAAACATGTGATTGTAGTCCATTATGGCAACAAGCTTGGAGCGGTCGGCACCAATTCAGAGATGATTGGAGAATCTACAGCTGAGTGATACGTAAATAAGATACATTTTTGTTAAAGTGACATTAAAGGCAAAAATTTTTTTCTCTCCCCCCAATGTTAATGTTAGCACTTACCTTTAGGCCTCATTCACACTGACGCGCATATACGCACGTATTGTACCATATGCAAATAAATGGCTTCATACACACAGCCGCGTATGGAGCCGTATATATGCGCAAAAACAGAATGGAACAGAGATGCGTCCGGTTTAGCTAACCTGTACCTGCTAGTGAGAGCAGTGTGTGTGTGGTCGGCAAAGCCTGTGTGCCAGTCTGCTTGAACGCAGAGTGTACGGACTGGGAGAGTCCAGGGAAAGGTTCCCCACATGCCTGTAAGTTGTGGGTGGCGGCAGCTTAGATTAGTTCATTTGTGTGTGCGTGTTGTTGTACGGCCTTACCGTCACTCCTGCGTACTGGAAGGTGCTCTGGGGTTCTCGTGAGGATCTGCTAGTGCGCTGGAAGATCTTCGAGGATGAGCGAAGGATGGAGATAGCCTGCGCGTCGAGCGGCCCTTCCCACGTCCCTGTGCTCTCTCGGCGCCCTTCCCTGGCCCACGAGTACATGACAATTGGTGGCAGCAATGGGATTGTTAATCATTATTTCCCGGTCTAGTGAAGATGGACAGTGATTTTCAGCCCTCTTACCACCGAAATAAGTCACTTGGAGAAATGCGCATACGTGACAGTTGGGGTATTTGAATGCATTTTAAGATTTAACTCCTGAGTTCGTCACTTTAAAGGAGGACTATGGGGTTAAGTCTTTTCCCTATAGTTCTCCTTAGGGTAACGGGAGGACACAAACTAGCGTCCTCCTGTCACCCTAGGCTCAGTATACTGCGAGCTGTAGCTCGTGGTATACTGAGACGCCGCAGTATACCGCGAGCTGCTGGATCCGCCCAGCTGTAGATCACTCGGCTGTAGATCCTCAAATCATCTCTGAATTGGTGCTGACACTGTCCTTCCTTCTGGAGGGGGGCTACTTTTGTTCCTCATGGTCCCTGTGTGTGTTGTAAAGTAGTCACCGCTCCAAGCTCGCTCCTGTGATGGACCATTAACTCTCCTGAGTTTAGTGTCATTTTAAGCTAGGACTTCATGATTCATGACTTCGGACTCCTACCCATGACCATTAATGGACCAACCTGCTACCGATTGAGTTAGTCATTTTACTATAGAGGTAATCTCTAACACTTGGATTTCGAAACTTATTAACATAAGAGCAACAAGTGCAGTCTATTCGTGTATACGTGAAGATAAATTCAAAAACTAAAACCCCACATATGTAGTACTACTTTGTAATACACGTGTTTTCTCTTGTTCTTTCCTTTTAACATACTCTATAAGCATAGAACAATAACTGATCTGCCAGAAATGTGGTGTGTCCATACCTTTCTATTTAATTTGATTACAGTACTGAAATCCCAATCCAAGGCCTACCCAGTGCTCTCCTGCTGAACTACAAAACACCTTCCCATCTACATGGTACAAGGAAGAGGTGTTCTGTAGTTCACAACGCAGGTCTGATGGCACTGCTTTGGATTTCAGTGCAGCAAAGGCAACGTCGTCAGCTCAAACAGGAAGTTGGGAGCTCATGGAATTTCTAACAGGATCCAAAGGTATTGTTCAGTGCTTGCAATGTTTTTAAGAGGACAGCAAAGATTTTTTTTTTCCCCAGAGAAATTTGAATGGATCCAATTTACTTTTTGGAGCGTCTGTGCTTACGTGCCAGTGAATGCTTACATGTGCATTTATCAGAGTTCAATGCTCTGGATGCTCAGATATGTGCCCTATAGGCATCACGTGCAGAGGGGCTATATTTAGTGTGGCAGAGGCAGGCTGTATTTGTTGATGCTTTTCGTGACGTCAGAAGACAGCTTGGTATGTGCGCCTTGTAAGAAATATTGTAGCGGTAATAAATTTAGATTTTAATGCCGTTATTTACCGCTTTCGCTGCGTAGACATTGAGTCACGCACGAGCCGACTGTTTTTCTCCTTTTTTTTTTTTTTTTTACTTTGACACTTGTTGACATTTTAAAAGGGTTCTCATGTTCCCTCCCATCACTGTCAAAGTGACGTCACCGGCCGGCAGGCGCCAGGAAGTTGCGGGCTGTGAAAACGCAGAGTTAATGAAAGCACTGAAATTGGGGGCAATTTGTCCGTTCCCCCTAAAGGAGAAACTGCCTGTCTGCATAAGCGCAAGGCAGGCTGCTGTAGGTAAATGTGATAGCTGTCTGCTGTGCCTGTACACGTCTGTGCGTAGGTGAGTGTGTGTGAGAGCTTTCGGCTCTCATCAGTGCTGATAATTACACCGCTAAGCATTTTTCCTGGAGCTTCTAACAGCCTCTAATGATGCCGCTGTGGAAGGGTGGCAGCAGTCGTTAGCTCCTTCATTAGGAGCAGCAGATTAACGAGCAGAGGGCTCAGCTACTTCAATAATAGAAAAAAAATAATAAAATAGAGGAAATAAAAGATGCTGGCTTGGGAGTTTCTTGTGAGCTTCCTATCGTCTGGTTATTAACGAGGGGTAGGAATGATCTGACAAGGGAGAGGGGGCCGCTGCTGATGAATCCCCCATTGTGTTTTAGAGATTACATAATCCAATTCTGAGACTAGCGTTCCGCACCCGGAACATCTAGCAGGATGGGATCGGCGGTTATATCTTTGTAAATCATTTTCATGTCTACAGTTCTTTTTTTAATTTCCAGCTTACCGTATATACTCGAGTATAAGCCGAGATTTGGGGTGAAAAGTGCCCCCCTCGGCTTATACTCGAGTCATCGCCAATATTCGGGACGGCTTATACTCGAGTATATACGGTACTTCTATGCCTTAAAGCACAACTCCACACCAATGGCTACATATGTGTTTAATATGCATATGTGTAAATTGTTTTTAACTGCCAAAATATTTGTAGTTCTGTTCGAGCAGTCTTGTAGTTTATCCACCTCTGCCTCTTTTGCACAAACAAGTAGGATGGTTCCGCTATTCCCTTCAACTTTAGGGCTTGTTCACATCAATTACAGTGCGTTCCAGAGCGGTAGCTGCTGGAAAACACCGCAATCGCTCACAAAACTTCCCCCTGCATTCTGGGCTGGGAGGGGGCGTGGCGGTGCGTTGAAGTCAATTGCTGCAGGGGGGGTGTGGCAAAATATTGCCTGCTTTCCGTTCCACTGCAAATGCAAAAAATGCTGCATGCTCTGTTTTTTGCGTTTGCAGTGGAACGGAACACAGGCAATGTTTTGTCACGGCCAGACACGCAGGCCACTAGGGAGGTGGGTATACTACCTCTTCTCTTATAAGAAGCTGCCACATTCTTTCCTTTAGAGCGCTGACAGTCTCTTTCACAAGACAAAGAATGAAATGCAATGTTCAGTAATCACTACCAGCTAGGAATTGGACTTCTGCATTCAGTGATCTGATTCCATTAACCCCTTGTACGTCGCCAGCATCGGGGCTGTTAAAACAGACTCCCGGCGACTTTTGCCGCCGGGAGTCTGTTTAAACTTGTAAAGCCGACTGTCGGCTTTACAACAGAAGCGATTCTGGTGACTTACCTGTCGCCAGATTGCTTCTGTGTCCCGAAGAAGGGGCCTTGGTGTCTGCGGGGAGCTGGGGAGGAGGTCGACGAACTTCCGTTCATCGATCCCCTCCCCGTTCTATGGGACCGGGAGCGATGCAGATTGCATCACTTCCGGTCCCTGGGCTGTCAGTTCTGGGCTCCTGGAGCCCAGCTATAAGCTATTGAAGTGCGATCTGCACTTCAATAGCTTATTTCCAGTGTAAAGGTGACACTGGGGGTCTTTTGGACCCCCAGCATCACCTTAAAGAGTACCTGTCACCACCATCTGCTATCACATGGGGGGCTTGTAAGCCCCCCTATGTGATAGCAGTCAAAGTAAAGTAAAAAAAAACAAAAAACAGTTTTTTAAATTAAAATAAAATAAAAAAAATTTTAAAGTCCCCAGCGAGCACACGCGTTGCCATGTAAACACGCGTCGGGTGCGCCTACGTATGAAAACTACGAACGCGCTACACATGTTGGGTATCGCCGCGCACGCCGGAGTGAGAGCAATAATTCTAGGGCCAGCATTTTGGGGTATCTCTAAATTGATGACCTGTGGGGGCTTTTAAAGCGTCTTCTATGGACTTTTTGGGGTACTGCAGTTATTCGCCGTTCCAGTGCCTCAGCACATTTTTAAACTGGGCATGTTGGGTATCGTTTTACTCGTTCTAACCATCTTTAATATTCATTAAAAAAATTGGTATTTTATTGTGTTCTGGGGCATTTAATTAAATTTGTCACTAAATTTGGGGGTTTAATAAGGAGTTGCGCTAATATTGCGCTACATAAAAATTTGCAATTACCACCATTTAATTATATAGGGTCTTGGCATTCAGAAAATATATAATGTGTGGGGGTTTTAAGTAATTTTCAGGCCTAAAATTTGGAATATAACATGGGTGCAAAAAATGGAAAAAAGGCCTCAGTCATGAAGGGGTTAAGGTGATCCTAATAGGCTGTTATAAGGTACTGCACTTTTGTTTTTGCAATTTTAAGCCTGTATTTTTTTTAAATATTTTATGGACTTTATATTTGGCTGATGGCAAGACTTTAAATGTTTTTTTTTTACTTTACTCGTTAGATGGAAGATTTACATCTCCCCGAAATAAAGAGGAAGAGGATGGAAAAGAAGGAGGAAGATAAAAAAGAATTCAAAGACCTGTTTGACTCTGACAGTGATTCAGAGGGTGGCGGTGGTGGCCTGTCGCTGAAAAAAGGTAATTTAAAGCTGCGGGTCTGCCTTTGCTGGGCTCCCTCCAGTACTGAGGATTGCCATTGCTGCACAGACATTCATTTGTCTGTGTGTGTATAAACAACGTGTCTCATTAAGGAGATAATGTCACTTTGCCAATTCAGGGCACTGTGACAATGTCTGCTAATAGCTTATCACCCCAGCAAGGTATACACCCCTATCCGTTCTTCCTTGCTGCAGGGGTCTACCCCAGTGTTGGAGCTTATCCAGTCATTAGAGAAATTGGCCGCTCAGGAATCCACATGCTCCCCCATACCTGGAAGCCCCGCTGTGTAAGAGCAGCAGAGCCCTTCAGCATGTAAGGGGCTGTCTCACTGGCCAGTAGGAATAGAAGGAATTGGGTGGGTAAGCTCCATCACTATCAGGAGTTGCCTTGCTCAATCAGAACAGTATAAATGGGCAATGATGTCTGAATGCCTGCATTTTGTACCTGCCAGCAGAATTTTTTTTTCGTACTGACCATTTTTAACATCCTGGTTTTCTCACTTCACCAGCCTGCCTCGGATTACAGAATTTTACAGCCTGCGGCATTCCTGACTTCTGATCTGACGCTTTATTATAAAGATAGAAAGTCCCTAAAGAAGTAGAGGAGTCACACAAATCCATTAGCACATGACACTACATTGTAGCTGTGCGATTCTGTAAAATCGTAAAAATGGTATACGTTATTACAGGTTTTGAACCCCCCTAAGGGTGCTCAATAGAGAAGAATTATAGAATTTGCAGTAGGTGGACCATCTATCAGTTTAGCAGGCATGCATCTAGTCATCCTTTTGGGTAGGTTGCTTAGTTTATGGGTTTTAGGGCAGGTTCACACCATTTTCTGGACTAGATCTGGAACGCAGTGCATTGCGTTTTGCCACGTTTCGGAGCATTTTTACTAAATTTTTTAGCAGCTTAAAATCGGCTTTCAGGTGCGTTCCAGTGCGTTTGTATCCAGTTTTGATGTTTCCATGCGTTCCAGTGCATTACAGACCAGACAAAATGAGACATAGTATTTTTCTGGTCTGGTCTGGAACGGAATGAGGCCAGAAATCGTATAAGGATGCATCTTGGGTCCGGAAACAATCTGGTCTGGAGATGATGTGGTGTGAATGGGCCCTCAGGGTAAATGTGTAATAACACTTTAACCACTTCAGAGGATCAGATAAAGCAACAGCACATAGTTTTTGTTGCATTGTGTAAGCGGCATTGCTTTTTTTCCCCCTTCCATTTACAATATTGATGGGAAAACGTTTGTTTTTTGGCAGGGGCAGTGAAATACGAAAACATTTTGCCAGTTTCCTAAAACCTGCTGGTAATTGCTGCAATAGTCTATCCTCTCTATTTGAGGTTGATGAGTCTTTAATTAGCCCTAAAGGAAAGCAGTTTGGGCTGCGTGTTCTTTAATGCTTATTATTGCAGTCTTCCTAGGCATTTGGACCTTAATCGCAAAAGCAATTAAGACACCAGTGAGCACAGTGCTTCTAGGTAACCTGGCTAGGGGCTCTGCTGCACCCTGATTAAAGGATCTGCTCGGCAGTCCAGCTTACAGTTACATGTTTACTTCTCTTATTCAAAGATGGTTTTAACAATTTACTTAAAATTATAGTAGTAAGTTATATATAATAGGAAGTTTTTGCTAGATGGAAGGCACCAGTTTCCTTTTGAAATGTTTTAATGGTAGACCAACCTTAAATATGTCCAGTAGTGGAAGATGTATTTACTGGTTGTAAAACCTGTATGGTAGCCCTCCCTGCAGTAACCTAACCCATCTTTGTATAGTCCGTTATCGACACACATTCCGTTATAGTGGTGCAATATTAATTAAAGAGGATGTACATTATAGTTTCGTTTTAGTTTTTGATAGAGTAGGGGAGGATTACTGTATATATATCAAGTGAATATAGTTAGAATAATTCCATAACGTGAATGTCTTGAAAAAAGTAAAATGGCATATTCAGTGAATCTTTGCAATACATACTCATTTCCCGACGTATTTTCTCTTAAACAGTGTAAGTACTAAAAAAAAATATCTGTTGAGCTGCCAGAAATTCAGTGAGCTCCTAAATTTCTCTTTGAACTGACATAACAGTGCCTAGTGAAATCCCAAGCAGTGTTGTCAGCCCTGACCAGTTCTCTTCTGCTAGACTATAGAACCCTTCCCCTTTTCCTGATCTCCATTACATAAGGAAGAGGTGTCCCAAAGTCTAGAATAGAGAGCAGAACAGGTTGACCTACCACAGGCTGCCTGCAGAAAACTAAAGTTGTGGGAGGACACTAGACCAATCACCCTGTACAAGGAGAGGGAGCAGCAGTGACTGGTCTTTGGTACAGTGCAGGATTTGTTTTATGATGGATTCCTCTACAGATCTGCACGAAAGATACCACGATTTAAGTACTAATATACATGCCTTTTGTATTTATTGGTATAATCCAGATTTCAGCTTTACATTCAGCTGCACCTATTCATCATATTGTTTATATTTCAAGTCTCTAAAGTGTGCACTAAATTTGTGCAGTTGTTTTGGCTGTTGTAGGTTCAAACAAATGGAGGCACTATCCAACAGTGAGAGGGGTAGACTATTGATTCGACCGAACAAGTTTACACAATGGGGAGGCCCATCAGTTTCACTAGGAGCCT